TAATGTTCTTACTTGTTTTTTTCTTTAGCCATCGAAAATTTGTGCTCTTCCTGGTTTGACTTTCATTTACACTGCTAGATGCTGGGATCTTTGACACGTGATAGCAGGCTTCTCTGGTATGCGTGGCTTCTTAGCGTTCAGCAGCAACAAGTTTTACACGTATACATATGTGCAAAACGTTTGTTAAGTAAAACGTTAAATACCAGTGGAAAGAGCGTAATTGCTTGAAAGCACAGCCCAAATGCAAATGAGTTTTATGTTAAATTTTCTTAACAGCACATTAGGCTGACAACATGAGGTATTGTAACATTAAAGTATTGTACATATTTTACTATTACTGTTGGCACTACATTTTTAAAGGGATAATTTCTACACACCTTTAGCCTTTCAAGGTAAATTTTATAAATTTTCTAACTTGAAGGATAAAGAAAAAAAACCAACGACTCACAATAAATATTTATTTTAATCATTAAGTTTCTTTGCCTCAGAGGCGTACAATACATATTTCATATTTTAAAGTTTTTAACTTAGGATTAATATACTGGCCAATACGACCGGACATTTTTATGGTTGATAGATAGTTTCTTAGAGAATTGTTCGATGAGTAGGAACCCACGGGTAGGAACCCACGGCTTCGAATGAATTCTACTTAAATAAGTATGTACCGCAAGAGTCTGTTCTGACACTTTCTCTCTTTTTGGTATTCTTTAACGAGCTCCCATGCATAAGATAATTGTGGTAAATACTTACAAGGGACGAACAATGAATACGTTACGATATCCAACCCCGAATTACCATGATGCATAGTAGGCGAGAGCCATTAGCATAGGTATTTAAGCTGAATATCTATTGCGGCTAAATGGTGAGGAGTCAGCTGCTCGTGGTTATTATGGATTGTTCCAATTCCAGCGACAGTTGATGCAATCTCGATAAAAATGGCCGCAATTTACCAAAAGTCACGATATCGTAAGTATAAGGAACACTCACTCAGGAAGTGTTTCCAGTTCTAATCTGGAGTATTGCTTCCCGATGATATGAAAGTATGGGTTCTTCTAGAGATACGCTCAAGGGACTGGACACCACACTCTTGAGTTCAACAGTCTCCAATTTGAGAAGTCCATTTTAGTGGTACCTCACGATCTGAAGTTTTGTCTTCATCGTAACTTTTGTCGAAAAACGTCATAATACATAAATATCCTTTTGTAGTGGCGGAAGTCACAATGCTGTTGCGCTACGCTAAGAGTTTTTGAACAAGTATTATTACCACCAGACTCTGTGTTCTCCATATTTTATAATAGTTCTTCTTCTTCGACATATACTGGATTGGTAACTCTCCTCAATTATGACGGGCCCTTCTTCTTCTTTCGCTCTCCCATATTTTTGACATGTTCTTGGGGACACTGTGAAAGAGTTTGTAGCATTCATGAATCTTTTACTAAGACATCGTTATTAAAAGCGTTTCTCAGCAGCTTTCTTCCAATTAAAAAGCAAATAAGAATGCTATAATCAAACAAAGCCGACCACTCGATGCCTTACACCACTTCTCACTAATGGTAATAAACCAAAAATTCGACGTTATTTTTATGAAAATGCATAATTTTTATGAAAGTTCTTATACTACATACTGAAGTGTGCTCAATGCGTCAACTAACATGATCCAAATTGGGCAAATTAATTTGCTTCTCAAAGCTTTATTTGGGTCGTATCAAACCACAACCTAGCAATGGTCGCTATAGAAAGACTTGCTTTCGTAAGAGCCCCTATTTTTGGGTCGGCCTAAGAAATAGAACTATGTGACCCAATTTTGCTTTTTTTAATTTTGATGCTTAGCAATTTTCATCATAAAATATTAAAAATTTAGACTTTTTTACATATAACGGCTTATTTCTCATTAGAATCTTGACAGAGGTTGGGATGCAAAAATAGAACTACGTGATCTAAATCCGTTAATGTTAATTTGTATGTCTGATTATTACTATGAATGAATTTTCATCAAGAAATACTGAAAATTAGATCTTTTTATCATATAAACATTCAGTTTCAGGTTATAAAGCAATGGCAAATATGGATTCAAAAAATTTCCACTTCCGATCCAAAGTTTTTATACCAATTTAAAGTGGCGAAATACTGTAATTAAGAGATTTTTTTTTTTGCGGAATTCTGAAAATTATACTGTTACACTTATCAAAATAAGGCTTTATATGGGGAATGATGGAAAAATTGAGCTGATCTGAACTATTTTCAATAGGATTCGTCCGTGGGTCAAAGCACATTAGTGAAAGTAAATTTCATCAAAACATTTTGAAAATTGCGGCCTATAGGCTGAACGCAAAAAAAAGGCAGAACAGACAAGTTCAAATTTATTCAGAAAAAGATTCTGAATTGATCGGTGTAATAAAAGTCGGGTGTCTCGCAAGGCCTTCTCGATACTGCATATATCTGCACAAACTTAAAATACGCTTCTAATAAAAGCAGTATAGGGTATAATAAGAAAATATGGAAAATTCACCTGCTCGTCTAGTTAGGCGGAGTAATCGATAGTTAGTCTATATTCTTGACTTTTGTGCTCGGTAATGAAGCCCAGAATAACCGCTAATTAACGTTTCGTCTGTGGCATACCTTAAGAACTCGAGGAAATAAATTAGACCAGCTCTCCAAAATATGGGGCGATCGGTGATGAAAATTACAGAATAGAACTTTTATCAATCTTTGTGTTCGTAAGTGTATGTGCATGTGTACTACCCTCACCATTTATTTTAAATTTATTATAATAATTTAATATAAGAAAATGAATTTAATGTTAAGTAAAATTAATTAAATAATTGTAAAAATAATGAGCAATAAAAGAATTTTTTCGCAAACTCCGTTACTTCAATTCTCCACGAATGCGCATTCTCGACCCTGATGAAAAACATCTACTGAATACTGTGTTGTGTGATCGCATATCGTGATTAATATGTATCCACTTTGAAGTGGTAGTGTGATTACAAATCGTGGTTAATATGCATCCCCTTTGAAGTGACAGAATTATGCAAAATTAGCATAATTCATTTGCAAAAAGAAGAAGAAGAATTATGTCACACTTCAACTAACTGAGGATTGCATTTCGTAATGCAATACGACCTAGGCGCCCTAATTAAATTAATTAATCAAAATTTTATGCTTACGCTAATAATAAAATATTTTTGTAAAATTTAAGTATAAATAGTCGCAAAATTAACTAAAGTCAATTGTTATGAGTTAATAATTCAACAAAGCGTTTCATTCGCTGCATTGGAAAAGGCGTTCTATCCGCCTAAATTATTTAGTCAGGGATAACTTCCAGTCGATCTCGAATTGGCACTGAAAGAAGTTGACAGTTTTGGCGGTATAAGCCGAATACCGTAGGTTGATAATCACGTAAAATAGCATAGATTGATAATCATGCCACTTCCACCTTTTTCGAATATGTCGAATATGTCTCAAGAACTTAATATTTAGCTCAACTCAATATTCTTTCAAGCGGAAGAGAAGACTAATTATCTAGTCTCAACACGGTTTTAAGTTAGAAATAGCTCTAATAGCCATAACTGTAAGATCAACACCCCTATCAGCTAAAATATTGGAAAGACTATGAGAGATTGTTAGAGAGCCGTTTTTCATCTTCCTTAAGTCGCAAGGAGAGAAATGTAAAAGGTGTTATACAATTAGCAGAAATTTAACCTGGGCTTGGCCGTTTAAAATGCCTTCAACTACAAATCATCATCACATAGCGCAAAATATAAGGCTTTAGGAAAGCTAATCCTCCCTACGTAATTAATGACGCAGGATATGCTAACACCTAAGTGCAATGCGTGAGATTTCAAAGACTCAGAGTATGGAAGCCTTTTAGCTTGAAAGTTGTTCATCATTTACGCATAAATTTAACATAACCTATAAAAGTTCAAAAGTTCATAGTTTTCTGAGAATTTAATATATATTCCCTATATATCAATACTAATACAAGCTTGGCAGCTTGGACACACCATCAGAAGAACAAGAAGATCTCTCTTCAAATTGCGGCTTATTTAATTCTTTTATATCGAGGCAAAATTGATTTAATCGACAATGTTTCAACTTTAAACGCAATGAAGCATGAATGCCTTCATCGTTGATCGGGTTTGTTCTCTTTACTCTTAATATACAACTTTAATGCCCCACTTGACAAGCCGTCGATCAATCCATCAATCAATCAATGCAAGGCTTGTTGAAGTGGCCGACACCTGGAAAGATATGGACTCATTGGCGCTCCACCTCAATATAGTGATACCCACGTGGACATTGTGGAGGCTAATTAGAAGAAGCCAACGAGGATGGCTTTGTGAAAACTGCGCTTGATTTCTACTTGTGTGATTCTCTAAAACTTCTTTTTTTATACGCACCTCATATTTAATTTCGTTAACTCTTCCTACTAAGCGCGAAAACAATTTTTATCAATATCGCCTTTTTTTTTTAATAAGGATTTTTTAATTGCTTATTTTTTCGGCAAGAAACGAGCAACTCATGGATTGAAAATTGAAATTTTTATATGATTGGTTTTAATGCCGCTACTTTTCTCAATCGCGACCATTTCAAACGATATGGGGAACAAAAAAACTCTGCAGCAAAGCTTACGAAGGTATTCAATTTTGCGAAAGCGCTGAATAAATGTTACGGTTTTAGGCATCACTTTTTCGAAAGTTAACTTTCGCTAAAATATATAAATAGAAATGAATATAAGTAAGTGCGGTTAAATAGTAAAATTAATTAATTATAATTGTTAAGTTAATAAAATTTCATATTTAATAATTAAAAAAGTTATCTATAAAGTTTAAATTTGGCTTAAAAGTTTATTATTTATTTAATTTATATGTAAATTTTTGTGAGTTTTTATTATAATTTAAATAATTACAATTTCTTTTATTTAATCGCAGTAATTAATATATGCCACAATTTTTGCCAATCATTTGGTTAATCATAGCAATAGCAAAAATCCTAAAAGAGTGCACTCTTCATTTTGTACGGTTCATTGTCTGATTTCTGGTAACTTTGTCTATTTATCGAACATATTGCTGTCTATTTCGGACACACTCCTTCGATATCATGCATTCACTATTATGTCATATTTTTGCTAAGAGATGACTCTGAGATGGCCTTACGGTTAATTTTCTTGTAATTTTATTTTGCGCACATTAATATCTTTCTCGTTATTAGACGGGTCAACAGTTGTTGAGGTTCGGCAGATCACATTTTCTGGCAAGAAATGGTAATTAAATGGTAGGTGCAATTGATGAACTTGAAGATAACTTATGGAAAGTGCAAAGATGGATGTGCTCTTCCCACTATTTAATTGAAGTCGAGATCTCGGGGGAGAACCGCAGCTCCCCCGCGACATTGTTGCATTCCGTTGGGGTCAATAATTGTCCACTCATTATTGTTTATGTTAAAGCGTTCCACGGTTTTAACGAAGCGGAAGTTACCTTCTTCTCCGCCAAATGCATAAATATTTTTTGCTGCTGCCACAATCGAGAAGCCAATCCTATTAGACAACATTTTGGGCATAGGTTCCCATTTATTTCTTCGTATGTCGAGCCGTTTACAATCGTTTTTTCCCATAGCAAATAATGTTCGCTCATACGATATAAGCTCATATTGAGCAGATCTTGCTGGCATCACGTTTAAAACGCACCATTTGTCCTCTCTCGGGTCAAAGCGAAAAAGGGCATTTTTGCCATTAGTTTCCCGAGTCAGACTGTATATGCTATTTTCTTCCACTGTCGCCCGATTGAAAAGACCGACTGTTACAGGGATATTCTTACACAAGTACCATGTGTTTGTTGCAGAATGATAGCTTTCGACCGTGCAGGTACAGTATCCACCAACAACGTAAACCAAATCATTATATGTGCAACTGCCAAAACCATATCTACTATTATTCATAGGTGCGACGTAAATCCACCGCTTACTGACGGGATCATAATATTCAGCGGTATTTAAAGCACCGCCGTTATATCCACCCAGTGTATAAATTCGATTGTGTGCGGGGACCAATGAATTACAAAATCTATCCTCATTCATACTTATGATAGAAACCAAGCATTTCTTCGAAATGTCGTACATTTTGCATTCTTTTATGCCCGTCACAAGGTCCATTGTGCCACCGCCCAACAACACATGTAAGTTTTCGTTGCTATGCATTGTTTCTGTTTGGCTTTTTTCATGTAGTTGAGTAACTTTCGTTAACTGATAAGCTAAGACTTCAATTAAGAATTTATTGCATTTTTCATCTTCTGTAAGCAGAGGTTCACCAACAATGTGATCTCTCAAGAATTTCGAGCTGACAAGAGGTAAACGTATCTGGCTCATGAGCTCCGCGAGATGAACTCTTCTTCTCTCTAGGTCGTGTTTGACCCAATTTATTGCAGCCTTATAAGCAATGTCTTCAAATTGGACTATGTTTTGCACGTCCTTTATCAATTCCTTGATCTGAAAACAACGTTTTAAAAAGTTACGAGTAAATCTGATGTGAAATCAAAAACAAAATAAACTTATATTCATTATATGATCGGTTGGGTTGAGTTGTAAAAGTTTCTAATTTCAACTCCCACTATTTGTTTCTCTATTCAACTCGTTTATAGGACTCTTTAGAAACTAGATAAAAATAGCATGAAACTGTCATAGACTATAGAACACGTTAAGAAGGCGAGGGTCTTGATAGACATATCCTCTGCTCTTAATTCGAAGTTGTAAGTAGCGCAACAACGCAGAAGACCTCACGTGAAAAAGACGCTTTCATCCCATGCGATATATACAAAAGATTTAGAAGCGTTATTCGTAACGTGATTACAACCAAGAAAACTGGATCGTTAATCGCTATCAAGCTTAGTAAAGGTTTGTTTGGATCAGAGGGATGCCATGATGGATGGACAGAATAACACACAAAGTAGCAATCACTTGGTAAATTATTGTTAGAAAGTAAGCAAAAATATTTGATGAGAACTGTAGAACATCGTGTGTTAACACCTTACTTACTGTCCCACACCAAACTACACATATTTTATGTGTGGAAAGAGGGGATGGGAAGTAATCACAACAGGGTGGAAAAATTATCAGAGAAACCACGAAAATGTTCAGACTTCTTGATACCTTGGATTGAAACTGAGGACGTGATCATTACTTATATATAAAGAGAGAATAAACAACAGAGAATAAATAAACAGAATGAATAAACAGAGAATTTGGAGTACAAAGACGATAATATGATTAAAAACACACTTCAATTGAAAATTTAAAAAGATGCATTCACGATGCACTGTAGCATTATCGATCTGTCGCACTCTATCGTGATTTACAATTTACGCTACATTGAAATGTTTGAGTTCTCCAATAATCTATAAGAATTTAACGGACTAGTATAAACTATCTGTATGGGTTTAGCCCAGTTGATAGTGAAAAAAAAAAAACAATAACGATCTGAGTAAAAAGAAAAAATAAATCTATATATATATATATATATTGTGCAAATTGCACGAACCCTAAAAAAAAATCCTGAACTGAAATAGAGGTGCCAGTGAAAAAAAATGCAACTGATCAATTCAGCATTGAAGAAGGAACCAAAGACAATTAAAACTGGCGAAAGTAACCACCAGGGATCAACAATACATCAACCGCAAGTATACTCTAGCAAATGTAGCAGAGATGCAGATACCTTATAATTAATTATATTATAATATAACTATTATTTAAGGATAATAAATTAACAGTGCATTATATATAACTTTTCATAAACAAATATAAAGTTCATTTTTAATACTTTTTTAATTATTCCAATACAATTTAAATGTAAAATAGTGCTTTTAAACAAATTTTTATATATATATATATATAAAGGGTCTAATTTAACAGTCAGATTAGGATAATATTTTATAAAAACTTACACATAGAAACGTCGTTAACATAAACACTACAACAAAAAGGAGAAAACATTAAGCAGATTACTTTAAATATCTCCGTGTATTGAGAAAAAGGACGAAAGAAAACTATTCTTTTTTACTTATTTTACAAATTTTGCATTATTATGGGGGGCTAAAAATAAAAAAAAAAAAAGTAATCAAAAAAAGCCAACGAGATACTGAACGTACACTAGCCACATGACCCCTACCCCGCAAGACACCGATATCCCAGAACCCGGCAACGGGCAATCATCCTTCACGCCGATATATTATGAACAAGCCCACCCTCTCCCAACAGGGGACGACGTGGAGACAGTCGATTTAAAAGAAGAAATTTCAGAAAGAAGGTACAGGTGACAATTCAAGCAGCCTCAGCATTCAAAGGTCAATACATCAAACTATGCATGGTCTTAGTATTTGAAAATGATTAAATTCCTTGTGATAAAAAAAAAAAAAAACAACGAAAAAGGAAACATACGAATCATAGGAAAGATAATCACGTAGCGGACGCCCTATCCCGCATAAAAGTCAAAGAATTCAAGGACATAAACAAGAATATATATAAAGTAGTAACAAGATCTGCAACGAGGCAGAAAGATAATTGCGCAGAAAAGCGCCAATTAAGCGAATATAAGAATGCGGAGCCCAAAGTCTATGAAGTCATTAGTAATAATGACGTAAGAAAATTTGTGCAATTAAAATTTGACTCCGACAAATGTTGCATGAAACATGGGAGGAAAATAATAGCCAAATTCATAATAAACGACATTTATACCAATAGATAACTCGACTTAGGCGAGTTTTTCCAAAGGCTTGAAGCAGAAGCCGGTATAATAAAAATGTCAAAATTCAAACTGTCACCAAGCGAGAGGATTTTCGAATCCTTATCGGAAAAACCAATTCAAAATAATGGGCAATAAGACATCAAACAATATAAGAGTAGCGCTACTCCAAAAGGTGACAATTATAGACAAAAACAATAAACTTGAAATCAAAAACATTCTACAAAAATACCACAATGACCCAATAGAAGGGAAGTCACACTGGAATTACACGTACCTTGTCGAAAATACGAAGGTGCTATTACTGGCCGCAAATGACAAAAATAATAGCCAAGTATGTCAAGGAATGATCGCTATGCCAAAAGGCTAAAACCACAACCCATACCAAACCTCCTATGACTCTAATCACAACACCTGCAACTGCTTTCGACACAGTTGTAGTCGACACCATCGGCACATTACCAAGGACAGAAAAAGGCAAAGAATATGCGATAACACTAATCTGCGACCTTACCAAATATTTAGTAACAATTCCGGTCACAGAAAAAAGTGCTGAAACCGTAGCAAAGGCAATCTTTGAAAACTTCATACTAAACTACGGACCCATGAAAACACTTGTAACGGATCAAGGGACCGAATACAAAAATGCACTAATGAACGATCTATATAAGTAGCTTAAAATTGACAATGTAACATCAACAGCCCAGCACCGTCAGACACTCGGCACGGTGGAACGCAATCACCAAACGTTAAATGAATACATCCGTTCATATATATCGCCGGAATTGAATGATTGGGATATTTGGATAAAATATTTCCAATATTATTTCAACACAACACCTTCCACAACACACAATTACTATCCTTATGAACTAGTATTTGCACGGCAACCAACACAATTAACAAATTACAGCAAAGATTTTGAGCAACTATATAAAATAGACGATTACGCTAAAGAGACTAGATATAGATTAGATATAGCATATGCGCGTGCTAGGTTACTATTAGATAAGGAAAAAGAAAAACAAAAAATAAATTACGACAGGAAAACTAACAATTTCCCACTAGAAGTAGACAATCTGGTATTACTAAGAAATGAAGTAGGGCATAAGTTACATAATAAGTATTTAGGATCGTATAAAGTCGTACAAATTAAGGATAACAATAACATTAAAATTAAAGACAATAAAAATAAAAATCAAATAATACACAAAAATAGGTTAAAACTGTATAAAGAAACTTCATAAAACATCCAAGTGTAAGGTACCTACACAAACAAAATATAAATAAAAATAAAAAAAAACACAAACAAAATATAAATAAAAATAAAAACTACGTATATAAAAGAATTTTTTTTTGGTAAGAACCCTACATAAATAAAAGAAAATTTTTTTTTGTAATACAAACAAATTTCATATATATATATATAAGTATTTATCAAAACACTACACAAAACACTAAACAAAAGATATATGTACATTATAAGATTACGGTAGAGGCAATGACATCAATAATTGATAAACCCAAGAATGATCATTCATTGTTAAAGATCATTCTTCCCAAGAGGTGTAGCATTATCGATCTGTCGCACTCTACCGTGATTTAAAATTTACGCTCAGTTTACATTTCAACATAATGTGACACCTAACCTAGTTAAGATACCCTAATTTAGTTGTAACCCACATTAGTCATAATTCTAATGATAATCTACTTTAATTGTATTAATTGCTTAAGTTAGCATTCTAGTAATAACCTACTTTAATTGTATCAATTGCTTAAGTTAGCGTTAAATTATTTATTATATAAGATACCGACCATACCTCAGTTAGGTCAGAATATAAGCAAGAATTAATAAGCAAAGAAACAAATAAAGACTTTAAAATAAACAACTAAATAAAAGAACCTTTAATTTTGAGCGGTCTCACTACAAAATATCTCGAAAGGAGGATGAAGTGACTAATCTAATCACAAGCATATGTTCAAAGTCGGGAACACACCCATGCCATATTTCGTGCTATTGAGATTAAAAAAATGCATTTCTTCCTCTGCAATCTTTTTGCACAAATACCTTAATCACATTGCGATTTCCGGCATTCAACTTTGCGGCACACATATGCCAACGCTAACGTAACAACCCTCTCCACTAATTCAGTTTTCCAAAAATTCTTTTTAATTTTGTATTCTCATCAACACAGGTGACATTAAAAAAAAAAATCATTGCAAAGTAGTTTAGTTTACAGTAGAACCATGGACCTATACGTCAATAGAATGTTAAAGACCAATTTATTCGTTCACTAAACAACCCCAATCTCAATCGTTTGTTCGATAACTTTTATGATTGATTTATTTAAATACCTCGTCAAATGACAAGAACTGTAGATGCTCTTCGGCAACTAAATCATCGAAATTATCCAAAATATATTGATGGCAAACTCCCTGCAAGTCTTTGCAAGAGTGCATATCTGAAAGAGAATAAAACCTTTTTAGTTGAGCTATATCTGCGAAAATTCCGTTATGCTCTTACCTGCGAGTTTTCGCACTCGACAACAATTTTCTCGGTTCACGTTGTTTTTAAGAAGTAGGGCACATTGCTCTTTCACCCAAACGATCTGGAATAAGTCGGATGCAGATAATACCGCTTCGACGTTACCTTCAGTAAGCGTGATGACCCCGCTGTAGATATAGTCAACAAGTACCTTAACGGCAACTACGTCCACATCCTGCAGCTTGACAGTCCCTTCCTTCCTTACCTTCATATCAGCTATAAAAGCAAATATTTCATATTATTAAAGTCCTATTTGGCAGTGTCCGGGAATCACTTACCTTCAAACATCGCGGCGAAGTAATCAGAGGCAATAGCGAGTGCAAGTTTGTGCACGTAGATGAGCTCACCATCTACGTCCAGAGAAAAATCAAAGAGCTGTAGGATAGAGTGATGAAGTATTAGTTTTAACGCGTGGCGGATTAAACCGTTTTCCGCTTACCTTCTGATTGATACGCATTTTGGTCAACCTTTCGAGGTAAGTCTTCCCATAATCGAGGTTCTCGCATTTTTTCGGGGAGATGCGTTCCACTTCATTTACAAATTTAGCGGCCATACCGTTGGATAAATACTGAAAGAGACTACCAAAATAAAAACTGTTAACATATTGTAAGCAATATTCCGCGCCTCATAAGTCGCACATAGATTTCAACGCACAAATCTAGAAACTAATGGACGGATGCAAGTTCATTATGAATTAGCACTATTCGCTACCATAACTCGCACATACGTGGCGATGCTTTAGCATTTAACACAAAAATTTTCGATACAAAACTACTCGTGTCTGTAGTCTGCACAACAAACGTGGTACGATATGCGGCCTATAGCCCACTAGATGATCAAAGAATTGTCTATGCCGTGTGGAACTTCGCTAACGCTTCAATCTTTAGAAACCATACGTCATCTTAAACTATGACGACTGGACTTCCACTTATTTAAACATAAAATCGTATCAAAGTTTTCTCATACTTCAGGATTCAAAGGTTGTTATTTCCAAAACAGTGGAACGCAATAGGTGGGAAAAATCCGTAAAAATTTAGATAGGAGTTGAATTACAAATAGTATATACTGTGATATAAAATTTGGTACAAAATACTATATACTGTAGTATATTAAAAATTAGTACAAAAAGCCATACACTTTAGTATATTGTAGTGTATTGAAATTTAGTACAAAATTCTATATACTGTAGTGTATTGAAATTTAGTACAGCATACTATATACAGCAGTGTGCTGTAGTACAGCGAAATTTACTAGAAAATGCGCTATACTGTGGTATACGAAAATTCAGTACAAGATACACTATACTATAGTACACTGTAGTATAGTAAATTTTAGTACAATATACACTACACCGTAGTACAAAGTATTTCAGTACAAAAT